TCTGTCTATTCGATGAGAACAACCACAAACAAGAAAATTGGTGAAGCCTAAAACTAAAATGTGTTATATTAAAAAAATAATTGCTTGGAATATGCGCGCGCGCACACACACACATATATATGATACCGGCGAAAAACCCAAACCACTGCGCAAGACACCATTTTATTAATGACTTAAACACGGTTACAATGATGACTGAAAAGAAAGAAAGACAATGCGTAAGTCAAAATATAAAAAAAACATCATAGATAAAGGCTCAACAAACGAAAGCACAACAAGCTCGGCGAGGAGGGAGTATGGAGTGGTGTTTGGCGCTGAGAAAGGGCTGGGGGAGGTTTGCGGCCTGCTGGGAGGGAGGTGGCAGATGGCAGGATGGCAGGGAAGCTGCCGGTGTGGTGCTGTAAGGAAAGCAATGGGGCTGCAACCTGCAGGACAGCGGACTGGATGAGCAGCAAGGGATGCGATAGCCTGCAGAGAGGCTGCAGGAATGACCGGCGGAGGTCTGGATTAACAACAGGGGCTGATGCTTCAGGAAAGTGGGCTGGATGGGCAGCTGGGTCTGCAACAATCTGCAGGGATGCTGCTGGAATGAACTGGAGAATCTGGGAGGGCAGCAGAGCAGGTCGGGCGGCTGTTTGGATGGTAGGCAGGTGGACGGAGGTGCTAGAGGGTGGCTGGAATGTTGGTGGACTGCGGGACAGCGAGCAGTAACAAGAACAGTGAAGATAAACACCACCTCGGACGGGTTACAGCCGGAGCTCCTTCCTCGTCATTGGATTCAGCCCTTAGAAGTGAAAATAGTCAGTAAAACTGAAATAAGGATTTCAAAATCAAGTCCCTTACCCTAGACACAAAAACTATTATTATAAAAGACTTTACTCAATTTTAGGAAAGATTAAAATAGAAAATGAATAATATCATATTTCAGAATTTAGGCAAGACTTTTAAATAGGGAAGAAAATAAAATCATATTTCATATTTTAGGAAATGATTTAAATTTAGAAAATGTTTAGGAAGAAAAGGTGATGGGGAGAAAAAGAAAGGTGAGAAAAGAAAAGGAGGACAAAAAGGAAAGAGGGAAGAAAACCCCTATGTTAATATATATATATATATATTCAAAGATTCGTCATAAGCTATTAGACAAGCCTCCCGATCAACCTCATGTGCCTAAGATTTCATTTCGTACATAGGCGCGATCGAACCCTTGATCTAGGGATTTTATAAACTCTATCAACCAAAGAGTCACGGTAGGCGGCACACACGCTCGCGCTCACGCTCGCGCATACAC